GATTCGGGGAACGTACCTTCTCCTCCAACAACTTCAAGCGTTCATCCAACGTATTATCGACCGTTATCTTTGACCCAACTTCATTCTTAGCCTTCCCCTTTCCTTTTATATTGGAAGTTTTCTTTAATAGTTCAGTGCCTTCCCTCATGTTCCTCTTGGCTATTGATTGCTGTATCATCTCCATTTCTTCCTGATCGTCGAGTTCTTCGTCCTGGAGCATTGCTCCTTCCGATGAATTATCTTCAGAGCTATATTCCTCAGAGCTAGACTTTTCTGCCATATTGCTCCTTTTCCTTTTCAAAGGCAACATTTTGGGAGGTTCCCGGGGCCAATGTTAAAAACACTTGTCGTAATGATCGGTGGTGGCAGGGCCTAAGCAGCAGCTTGGACTACTCCGATTCGGCCTGTCAGTGGCTAGCAAGATTGTATCGCCCTTATTAAGAAAACATGACTTCAAAAGCTATGAACGATGAAGAGGTCGCCTCGGAGATGAACAAGATGGTGTGTACGAATCGAAACCAGCGGCTTCATTCGTGTATCGAACCCAACAAGCTGATCACCGCTGTTCTGTCATCTAGGTTGCGTTCATCAGACAGGAGGCGATGGAAAAGGCCCGCGAGATCAAAGTGAAAGCTGACGAGGAGTTTGCGATAGAGAAGGCAAGCATCCTCCCTCGGTTGTGGCACCGTGTCCACTCGCTGGCGCCGTGCTACAACCTCTACGAATATCTCTCAAATCTGACATTCCTTCATTTTACAGGCCAAGATTGTTCGACAAGAGTCTCAGGCTATTGATGCCTCATTTGATAAGAAGCGTAAAGGTGCTGAGACTGCACTGAAGATGTACGTGGAACGCACCCTAATGAAGACAACCTCATATTCATTGTTACCACAATAGTGCACAATCAACCCAAACCAACAAATCTCGTCTCAAACTACTCCAAGCACGAGAGCAGTATCTGTCGGAACTCTTCGCAGCGGCAAGAGAGGAGCTCCTCACTTTATCGAAAGATGAATCCAGATATGTACAGCTGTTAGAGGATACGATCGCTCAGGTATGCTATGTCCACGTCATACCCCCGTATCCAGAACTCACATGTGTTACCAGTCATTACTCCAGCTCATGGAACCCAGTGTTACGATACAGTGCCGCTCCTGCGATACGAATACTGTGGAACAAGCTGCTCAAGCTGCACAAAACAAGTACAAGGACATTAGTGGCAGAGATGTCAAGTTGGAAATTGACGGATCCCTGAGTAAGGAATCAGCTGGTGGCGTGAGATTGGTCGCCGCTGGGTCAAAGATAACGGTCGATAATACGTTGGATGAACGCTTGAAGTTGTTGGAGGAGAAGGTACGTTCCCCGAATC